TCCATGTTTCAAGATCGATGCATTGCATCGTCAGGGTTTATAATCCATGCATCGAGAAAACGAGTGAATCGTTACACCCCTAGTTGTTAGTGTTAACTAAAACCATTAAAAAATATGTTTTTTTTAAACTGCCGTTATTTCAGTTGTTTTCCAAGGCAAAATGTCTAATTTTACTTTAAGCTTAAGTTCTAAAACGACTAAAACTAAAACAGAAATATAAAGAACATTAAAGCTAGAAATACTGGGAAATACTGAAAAAACTATAACGAATAAAAATGTCAAAAGCATATAATAAAATAACTAAAACTAAATTAAAATATAAACTGAAAATAGAAGATATTTAAAATATCACTAAATACTATAGTAGTAATTAACACTAAAATAACACTAATTCTCAAACAGAATACAGAAAATGCACTGGCAATTTTTCTGCCAGGACATTATCCAGTAATCCAGTAACGGACATTTCCATCAACCCTAAAATATAATGCAATGATGTGCAAAATTCAAAATACAGGTAAAACACCTGTAAAAAAAAAAAATATGACATTAATATGAAAATTCCTTGATATTAGTACAGTACATCGTGCCATATTTTACAGATTTCTTACAGTGTAGTTCAACAGTTCATACTGTAAAGACAGACTCAAACAACCGCCTGTGGTAGTTGAAGCACAAATTACAATCTGATGCGATTATAATTGAACTCATAACAGCTTGAATGTCCCTGTGCATGAGTGAATGTTCCATGATGCTCTCGCGGCTGATTCAACATCAACAACAGCAGCCATGCAGGCAACCACCAGATGAGCCCCTTTCTTCCATGTCTTGTAGATGCGGCTCTGCACATGTTCTTGTCAGTTTTTCAATTACGCAGCCCACGGGAGACGCTGGCATGGTTAGAGTGAATTAGATGGAGGCCTCTGCCACAGATGAATCACAATAATGCGGTTACTCTTGTGGTTTTGTGGACATGTGCTCACGCTCACGCAGGAGATGAAGTGACATTTGCCCTGAGGAAGCAATGGTCATCTCTCACCTCTTCATCAGAGTTTGCTCCCCTCTATTCCACATTGAAACGCCATCGATTCTCTCCGCAGGCTAAATAAGGACAGAACTATCTGTCTTTTTTCGTGGAAATGCTAAAAAACGGTTTGTCTTGGGAAATGTCGATAAGTTAATGACATAGGGAGGTATTATCTGGGCTTTATTGGACAGATAGATCTTTGTGGCTCTCACTGGACAAAAATGGAGACAGAAAATGAATGGTGCTGAGTGAATTATCACACCGAGAGCAGGGCGGATGGGAGGTACTTCATCCTTTAAAATCTGAATGGAAGATGGAGAACTGTGTCAGGCTACAGATTTCAGAAAGAGGGAACTGGAGGAGGAAAGATATCATGCATCATTCAAGAGCTCCCTCACAATCACACCACACACACACACACACACACACACACACACACACACACACACACACACACACA